GGAGATATGTAAGTTTTCCAATTTTTCGCAGTTTAGCAAATATGAGTAAATGACACTCAGTTGTTTAACATCTGTATTTTTGTTGATACAGTGGTTATTCATGAAAATGTGGGACATTTCCAGGAATAAACGTTTGGAAAGGTGTTTTTCTTTATCAAGAACTTTGATACTTGTGTAATTCATAGAATGCCCTGTTGTGTTAACATGAGATGCTAGAGCGCATCTTTCAGGATGAAGCTTAGCATCACTTTTGTGTGATGTAATCCTTCCTTTAAGAGATCTGGAGGTCTGACCTATGTATATTTGGTTGCAGTTGTTGCAATTGATGGAGTAGACTGTGTTGGTTAAGCCAAACAGCGGGACTTTGTCTTTCACTTTTGAAAAAATGTAGTTTATAGTGAGGACGGATTTGCAAGCCGATTCCACCAACAAATTTCATTCCACTCAAAATCTAATAGTTCTCTTCTCACGATTTATTAATAATTGTTAATTTAAATTCCCATTAATTAAAATATATTTTATTCAACTGCCTCTGGTCGGTTTAACAATTTCTTACATAACATTCTGAAAATCACATCATCTGAAGTGATTTGGCAACGTTTGGCACACGCCCACAATTCGTTCCATCTTTCAACACAGACATTGACAACTTTCGGCCTTCTGTCAATGGTTCATCTCACTCATTATTCTATGACCACCATTTTGTGCAATCATCAAGTGGCTTCACGATGTAATGCTCTAATGTTTTTTAAATAATTTTTAATCTATTTTTAACTTGTCTTGTCATATTTTATATAATTTTGACCATTGTACCATCTATCCAGCTCTCACCATGTTACTGGACGTTTCCCTCATCCTATACGTAAACAACAATTAGCAGCATCCTCACATACTGCTGTAAGTTGAGTCAATTTAAATTCATTTTACACTTTTGTTGCTACTGTTATCATTGTAATTGCAGCTCCTGATGATGATGGCAAAGTCCATTGAAAGCTAGAGAGAATTAAAAAAGTATAAAGAGTCCTCTTTGCTTAAATTTTGTCGAAGTACCCAACAAAAGGCGGAAGCTTTAATTATTCACCTAACTGGTCTAGACGACAATGACCACGTCTCAAGTTATATATATATAAATTCTTTCGCTTTTTTGTTTCCGATGCGATGAACCGATAAGGTGGATTATATCCGTTGTTGCCAAACACGAGTACATGATATTATTATTGAGACAGGGCGGTACTCAAACTTCCAAAGGGCTATAACTTTGTTACTTTAATTTTACCAGAAAAATGGTAAAGGAAAAAAACATTTCTTTTGATCAGATCTACTCACTGTTAAAATAAATGACTCAACTTCGAAGTCACCCTGTATATATCAGCTTAATAAAACCAATATAAAAAAGAATGCTAGGAGATGTTTCATTTAATTCCAATCGGAGTAAAACATTACAATGCCTGGAAAATATTATAGTCGTTTGCAGCATTTTCACTAACCAGAAAGTAATAATAATATTATCTAGGTCTGTCTCTGTCCATGGAGGTCAGTTTCAAGATTTCAGGTTTGGGATCCTTATCGATTCTCAAATGGTGTTTTACAAAAGTTGTTCCCTCAAAAAAAAAATATATGACTACGCCCTAAAATCATCCGAAATTCAATAATTATCAAACAACCTAACTATAGGCTAAGCTCAGTTTCGTCATAACTCATCGTACGTCACTGCTGTACTCCAAGACAGTGCCGTGCGATGCATCACGTTAATCTTTCCCATTTTTATACTTGACCATAGCAGATGACTGGACAAAATAGTTTAAACAGATTGGGCTTTACTATAAACCATCCAAGCCTCACAGAGTCTTGAATTAACTAAATACAATTTTTCCACTTACTGCATTTATACACTTACTGAACTGAAAAATATATTACATATATAGGGTGTTCAAGATAAGGATCCTATGCAAGGGGATTTCAATACCTGTGGGAGATACAGCTTAGGTTGAATTAGGAAAAGCTGCGTCCTTTAGGGCATATTTACATGCCGTTGAGAAACTTTCATGGCTTACTGAGGTATTTGGGAAAAATAAAAATTTGGGTAAATCATTCTTAATTTGTTCTGATTTATTTTAGGGAATATCCAAAAACTAATGGAACTTTTTCATTGGCTGTTTTCAGGCACTACATGATGGTGTTTTTAAATTTTGTGCCCGACGTTTGGTTTTTGAGAAACAATCAAAAACTTTATTTTTTTTATATGGTCCGCAAGGTAAGTACACACATTCTAAAATCATCTTCTACGAATTCGACGACGTATCACATGTTAGACTTGTTTTCTTAGTTATGTAGAAAAATGTCTTTGGTCCCTAGAATTCCACTCCACATACTAAACCCAAAACGTTCTTGATGGTCAGTAATGAGCGTTGCGGCGATTGAAGATTCCATTATTAGTGACTCTACTCTCGTTGGACCATATTATTTTCGAAGATAGATTAAAATCTTCACCTGTTAGTGTGTACTACTCAAAAAGATGCTGGCGCCATTCGGTTTCCCCTGGTCAAAATCCTTGGCAAATCCTGTAATTATAGGGGTGATATCTATTTTCACGCAAAATAAATTGGGCGGATTTGGCTACTCCTCCATACAATAGTGCCTAAAAAGTGCCAATGAAAAAGTTGCATTAGTTTTTTGATATCTCTTAAAATAAAGTTGGAAAAAATAAAAACGATTTTGCCAAATGTTTGTTTTTTCCTCTATATAGACATTAATACTGCTTTAGATACGTAATTATCCAATCTATCCAAGTTATTCTATATACGAGTATATGTAACTTTCGTCTATATCGACCTAGATGCAGATAACCAGTTTCGGAGTGGATTATGTTAAAACGCTTTAAGTTAAAGCGGTTTAAGAAAATGTGTATATTTAGTAGTTCAGGAACATATGGGGCAGGCCTGACGTGTCCGCTTAAATATTTGTTCTTTCTGCTGTTCCAAAAAAAAGAAACATATTCATTCGTAAAATACTGTTTTGTTCCATCACAGCCAAACCTGCCACATTGAGGGCGTTCGCCTAACCTGAAGCGGTCCAGCGGTGCAGCGCATTTATGTTGAATAGCAGTAGCCGTCGAATAGCTTTGACAGTTCGCAACATTAATCAACATGAACCTACTATCATATCTGACAGCCAAATGGAAACAGCTATCAAACTGACAAAGTTATCTCATGGCTACTGCTATTCAGCATAAAATCGCTCTACTTTACGTTGTCTGAACGCATCTTATGCTAAAACAAATGTGAACGCTCAGTCAAGCTCCTTTTACTACTACTACTATCACTACTGCGTATTTGGAAAGTTCAACGTACACTCGCTAAGCTGCTTTGGAGTGAAACTAGAGAACATCAAATTTTATTGCAGAATCAAAAAATACACCCAATTTTTCACTGTGACAAGCCATCCAACCATGTACTCACATATACTACATACTACATACTTATACACAGGTATGTATATAAATTGAAAAGACGCATTACATAATGAGAAATGTTTCAAATATTATTCTCATGGGCGTAGGCGTTCCTGCGGGACAATTATCGATTATGCACTAAAAATCCATCAAGTTTACGGAGGTATTTTCCACCTTCGCAGAAATGCATTTTTTAGCTGATATAGACTATTCATCTGCGGCTATGTTTTGAAATTGATGCAGCTTTCTCCCTTTTCTGCTCACCTGTTAAACAAATGCCGTCAAGTAGGTTAACTCTGCACTTCCCACGTAACGCCGTTATCCGTTCATAAATGATTCTGTTCAGCACAAACTGGATCCTCTGAGAAAAAAGTCAAACAGGTCCATACAATTAATCCGTAGACATCATTTCGCTGCCCTACCGATAGTCCATCTGTCAACGTCGCCTTTCTCCTTACACGGTAAGACGTGGCAGACGGCCACCGCATACGAAACACTATACGTAGGTTCGCCATCCGTGTCAGGCGAACATTGTTAGGGCTAATGTATGGAGAAATCTATACTGTGTAAAATATCTCTAATAAGTGTTTAGAATTACCAAGGTGGAGAGCTTATAAATAGGTATACTACCATCAAAAAATTGAGATATACTCTACCACCACGTACAAACCTACAATCCCCTCCCCAAACGCCAAAGTTTGAGAGATTTTTTTTTTTTTTTTCGTTTTTGGTCTTTTTCTCCGCCGCCACTGGACCTATTTTCAAAAAAATACGAAGCTTTTTCGTCAATAGTAAATTCTTATAAAAGTTTCATCAAAATCCGAGCGGTACTTCTCAAGTTACAGTCGGTTATAGGATTAGCGGACAGATATCGATGGACGGACTGACGAAAATGAGTGACATGGTTTTTCGTGATGTACATGTTATATAACACCCAAAAAACACATCTTATTTCTGAAAATTTTCGCGATTAGATTTCGCGATAGAATTCGTGCACTGACATCCAGTAGGTATCAACTTTTATCCCGGAGATGGATAGAACGAGACCACCCATTTCAAATCAATTTTGTAAGAAAGAAAATGCTATTTATCTTGCTTTTTGATGAAACGAAAAACACCTTAGCCTTTACAGCAAAAGCAAGGTGACGTTCTAAGCACTTGGAGTGGAAAAACTTATGATGTGACGTTAGAAGCAGGGGCGTAGCTACCGCCGTATCTGCCGTATCAATTATACGGGGCCCCCGGGCCACGGGGGCCCCCAAAGTGTGTAAGGAAAAAGAAATAAAAACTTCCTAATTTATTTTATTTTACAAATGACAAAATTCTATAAAGCAATTACTTTTTATACCGCCTTAAGCGTGCGTTCAAAAGTTGGCAACACTGTACATCGTTATGGCGGGCTGTGGGACTTCCCCGTTTTACTTACTTCATCTGCAACTCAGCGGGGAATCCCTCAATAATAAAATCGATATCGCGAACGTGTACGTACATACTCTATATTGGATGTTAAACCACGGAGTGCAGTGCAGTGTTTATTTACGCGTTTTATGTAATTGTGCATTACATTGTAATTCAGTACAAACAATATTGTTCTGGTGGTTTAACAATATTAGTAGCGATTTGTAAAAGAAATGAGTGAAAGGAAAAGAGATTATCCCAGCGGTGCTGAGAAAAGAAAAAGTAAACGGAAAAGGGAAGAGGTTATAAAAAAAGTGCCCAAAATTTCTTCATTTTTTCATAGACAAGATACTGTGAGTGATTTAGATTGGAAAGGTAAGTACTACCCAACCCATTTATTCGGGGTCCGTAGTGATAAACAAGGAAATCTTTTAATTTCGGCCTGTCAATCTGTCCGTCACAAAAAGTGGTCTCCCCCCCTTCGATTTTCACAACTACTGGTCCAAAAATCTAAAAAAGATATTGGAGACTCCTTACTAATTAAACTTTTACATGAAATTGGTTTGGCAAAAATCTTAAAACGGATAAGGTTTAAAAATAAATGACAATTTGTAAAATTACTTCTTCGAAAAACCGAAGTACTTACTAATTTACACAAGTACTATTTTACACGACGCTAATGTGGATCTGCGTGGTTAGATACGCGTGGTTGTTTTATTATTTACCTGTAGCGAAGGGTGAATTTTGTTTTTAAGGTTCCGTGCCTCGAAACAAAAAAAAAAACCAAAACTCTAACTTATCTATAAGATCAATTTGTTTTGTTGTTTGTCTATCAGTCTGTATCGTATCGTAAATTGCGTGTTGAGAACTTCAGATGTGCAGACTCGCTTTCGGGTTGTTCTCGTTTTGTATGGCCACTACACTACGCGCTGCGTTCAAATAGCACGCAGGTGTAATGTAACGCACGGACGGGCTGCAGGTGATTTTGTATCTACTAATACGAGCACAATCCGCGTAGAGTCTGTGTGCGTCTGAACTGAACACTCTCTAACTGTGACCCTTAGTAAAGTTATTTATTTATATATAACTCTTTTTTGTTTAGTATCAAAGCATTCGTATTTATTTTTTAACAAATACTCGTTTATTTTTAGATTCTTCTGAAGCACGTTCTTCGTCAAATATCCATTCGGAAATAGAAGAAAGCCAAGCACATACTTCATCGGATGTCCATCCAGAAATTGAAGAACACCAAGTCAACGATTCTGATATATTTGAAGATTGTAATATAATTTCATCAGATAGAGGAAATTTTGGTGACAATTTATCTGAATGCGAACGAAAAATAATTTTTAAATTGGGTCCATTTAAACCACAAGGACCATTTCCAAAAGATTCAGAAAGTAACCGACCTTTTTCGGCCTATTATTATTCATATTTCAATCAGGCAGGCATAAAACTTGTAAGACCATGGTTATGTTATTCTAACGTTTTAAACAAACCGTACTGTCACTTCTGTTGGTTATTAGCAGATCGTCAAAACAAATCGTACTCCTCTGCTTGGGTTAACGGTGTTTCGGTTAGAAGCAATTTTACGCAAACTATACTTGACCATGAAAAGTCACAGAAGCATATGAATGCCTCACTCTCTTATAATAATTGGGTGCAAGGAAATACCATCGATACTCTATTGCAAAGTGAAATCAATAGTAAAATTACATTCTGGAGAGATGTACTGCATCGTATAATTAATGTTATAATTACTTTAGCATCTTGTAATCTATCTTTGAGAGGGCATGATTCTGATTCTGGAAATTTTATGGCAATTTTACGTTTGCTATCTAACTATGATGCAACTTTAAAAGAACTTCTTCTAAAACCGAAAGGCGAAATAAATTATTTAAGCCCTACGATTCAAAACGAAATTATTAGTTTGCTTGGTACCACCGTTAGGAACAATATTATCTCAGAAATTAAAAAAGCTCCATTTCTGACAATAATTCTGGATACAACACAAGACTTGTCAAAAATTGACCAACTTTCTGTAGTTTTTCGATATATCTCGGTTACAGAAAATGATGATAATGTGCCTAAAGAAATAAAAATCTGTCCTTTTTAGGATTTATAGCAGTAACCGATTGCAGTGCTGCAGGTCTGAAAACTGCCTTTTTAAATTTGACTAAAGAATATGGAATTGATTTGACTAAATGTAGAGGACAGGGTTACGATGGAGCAAATGTTATGTCGGGTATTTATGGAGGATTACAAACCCTAATAAAAGAGCATGCTCCAAATGCCGATTATGTTCATTGTGCTGCGCACGCTTTAAACTTAGTTTTAAACGATGCTGCGAGACACGTTCGTGAAATATCGACTTTTTTCGATAATTTAGAAAAAGTATATACTTTTTTTGGCAATAGTATAAAACGCTGGGCTATGCTAAGTGACGATCCGTCTGAAAAATATTTGATTACCCTTAAAAAGGTATGTCCAACCAGATGGTCTTCTAGGAACGACGCTTTATTAGCGGTAAAGAAAAATTTTTTACTAATCATGAAAACTTTGTACCAACTAAATTTAATTTCAAATAAAAAAGATGAACGTGAAGAATGTAAAAATATAATTAATATTTTAGAGAGTTATGATTTCTTAGTGCTCGTTACATTTTTTCTTCACTATTTGAAATTATTAATCCTATTTCTAAAGCTCTACAGCATGAAAATAATGACTTACAGAAATCTAGTATTTTATTAAGTAATCTTTTAAATAGACTGTGCCAATTAAGAAATCAGATTTCATTTAATAGTTTGCTAAATGAGTCCAAAGATTTAGCAAAAGAGTGGGGGGTAACAACTGTTTTTAAAAACAGTAGGCGAAAGATAACGAAGCGTTTTTTTGATGAGTTATCACAAGATGAGAGAATTTCCGACCCGGAATCCTATTTCAAAGTCAATGTATACTATTGCTGTTTAGATATATTAATTTCTCAAACTAAAGAAAGATTTCAGAGCCTTTGCGATCTGAGTAGTATGTTCGAAATATTACAACCGGAGAAACTCCTATCTTCTTCAAACGAAGAGATATTAATCGCTTCCGGAAAACTGTCCGTTAAATACAGTAAAGACATCTCAGTTAATCTTTGTGACCAATTAAAGGCTCTAAAAACATGTTTAAAATCTGAAATTCAAAAAATTTATTCCATTAAAGAACTCATTGAATTATTGCTAGTAAAATTCAATAGTCTTGCATCTAGTTTTCCCGAGGTAATCACAGCATGCTTTTTATTCTTGACCCTTCCAGTTACAACCGCAACTGCTGAAAGAAGTTTTTCAAAATTAAAACTGATAAAAAATTACTTAAGAACTTCGATGGGACAAGAACGGCTGTCAGACCTCTCACTATTGTCCATAGAGGTAGAAACTTTAGAAAAACTAAAATCATCATCAGCCATAAATGATTTAATAAATCAGTTTGCCGAAAAAAAGGCAAGGAGAATGAATGTTTAAAATTTGATTTTTATTTGTAAAATGGTTAAATTATGTTATGATAAATAAATATTTCTTTTCACAATATTTTTTTTCTTTTGTGAAAAATCTTTACCCCCAAAGAATATAAGGGCCCCCACACAATTTTTTATACGGGGCCCCGCCAATGCACGCTACGCCACTGGTTAGAAGTTATTACGTTGGCGCATAATCTTATGCTTTAACTTTGGATGGGATTTTTTGACCCTTCTCGCTCATAGGTCAAAGCGGAAATACCCAATTTTATGCTTTTTTTATGGAAAACATCCCATTGAAGATTGAATAGACAAAATGTCGTTAACAAGCTACTGAGCTGAGCGTAATGTCCCTTTTTTGTAGATGCTTCAACTTTAAAACTCTTGAGGTCTCTCATCATACCAAAGATTAATTGTAGATTGACTCTGTACTTCCCAGGCAGTTATCTCATCAATTATAATAACTATATGACAATACCATAGGTACATACTTGTCTTATTTTCTCTGTACACCACGATAGTGACTTATAAAGTATCTCCACCTTCTAGACCTAGATTAAGGTCCTGCGGGTGCCAATGATTTGAAGAACAATTCAATTTCATTTAACGGTACTCGCACTCCAAATATCATCTTTTTACTTCCCACGCCTGCTGGTGGGGAAGTATTGTAATCGTGGACATTTTAGAAAATGAGATATTATGTTACATGACATGTACATCACGAAAAACCATGTCACTCATTTCCGCCGGTCTGTCTGTCGGTCTATCCGCTAATCTAACAAAGACAAGAAAGCCAATCAAACCTCGTTTCTTGACGTATCAGACAATCTTGCCCAATTTCGGAAAAACTTGTTTGGGTTAAAAATTGGGGGTTGTAGGGTATGGGGGAGGGTATATCTCAATTTTGACGTTGGTATAGTTATATCTCTCCAACCCCAGTAATTCTACGAGCATATTAGGCATATTGCACTCATCATAAGTACCGTTAAAACCTAGAAATACCTTCTACAGTCGGGTATCAATACGTGCGACGTCTTCTCCCAATGGACAAGCGTCGTGTCGGTGGCCGTAAGTCACAGTTGTCAATCGCTTCCGTATTGCTGTGGTCTGTGTGCACTAGGAATGGTGAATGCCAATTTCGTCATTCACGCGAGGTGGGTAAACGAAATAATTATGTGCGCCTGCAGCAATTCCTCTCAGGGGGAGGTGGAATGTCATTTAATCTTTTCTTCTACATGTTCCTAGCAAACTTTTTTCTCAGAAAGGCTAACTTATGCCTAACATAATCAAACAGTCAACTCACTTGACGTCATCCATCATAAAAAAACAGGGCAATATTTTTTAGAATGGCATACCTACTGTCCAATATACTTCGAAGTTGAGTCATTTATTTTAACAGTGAGTAGATCTGATCAAAAGAAATGTTTTTTTCCTTTAACATTTTTCTGGTAAAATTAAAGTAACAAAGTTATAGCCCTGTCTCAATAATAATATTATGTGCTCGTGTTTGGCAACAACGGATATAATCCGCCTTATCGGTTCATCGCATCGGAAACAAAAAAAGCGAAAGAATTTGAAACGCTTATCACGATGTTCTTACTACAATTTTATTCAGTTGTATTCAGTCAAGTGTCAGTCGGTAACGCGTGAGTGAATAGTGGTGTTTGTTGCGTGGCTCAAACGAAATAAAAAATGGCACATGTTTACGAAAATGCTGAACTTGTGGACATGATTCTTATTTACGGGGGGGGGGGAGTCTTTATCACGGATTTATGCGGATCGGTTTCCCAATCGAGTGCAACCAACTCCCATGCCTTTGTTAATGTAGTACAAAGGGCTAGTGAATCAGGTGACTTAAGACCTCACAGGGGAGGGCATGCCGGTGCTCCAAGACCGCACGATCAAATACAGGTCCGCACTGAAATACTTGTCGGGGGGATACCTTATAAAACAAGGTAACATTTTTTTTATTTTTATTTTATTTTTACACACACATATTTTGGTTTATCTTCCTTCTACAATCATTATCTGAAAATTAATGACTCAACTTCAAAGTCATAATATTAATAGTTCTATAAGTACGTAAATACTTTCATATGTATACTGAGTATTGCTAAGCTGAACAAAAGGTAAAAACATTTTATTCATATCACTATGTATAGGACATGAGTTACTTTTAACCGTGATAAAATCGGCAGCCTGCCGAAATCTGCAGTGAGACAATCGTTCATCCTTGGGCGGTATTCGGTGTTTCGAAGACCGCGGACTATTTATAAGTCTCCCTCTCGATGATGAATATCCGTCATAATGAACCTAACTAACATTTTGTTAAAAGTTCTACCACCCAAGAAAAAGTTACCTATATTTCTAATATTTTAGTAATCATCATATCCTTGAATGCTGAAAAGTTGAATTGTCTCGAGAGTTGAATCCTTTGTCAAAAATTGCTAACTACGTATAGTTGTAGTCACCGTTCTGGGCGGTTACGTCATCAACGCCATATGAAATAAGTAAACAGATCGAGTCTCCATACCAGGGGCGGAACACTGCGCAGACTAATTTTCAGCGCATCTGCTACTCTCTCCAGTACGCATGAAGTGGGTAACAGGGGACCGCCGTTTTCGTTCTGTTCCTGGAAATACTCTAATAAGTTTAGCACGAGCTGTCGGCCTTCTCCATTGATCGTATTTCCGGGCATTGTACAATTTTATATTGAAGATTGATAACAGGACAACTCGAATTGCAAGCCGATGTCAAGTAATTTGTCACTCTGAAAAATATGATTGAAGGGCACTCATACGTAACGACAAAGTTTTCGAGACGGAGACACACAACTAAAAACGTATGACTTTGAGCTTACCGAACAAACGTTCACACGCAGGGGTCGGTTGCATGTGTATGTATGAGGAAGATAGAGATATATTATAAAGGGATACTGGTAGTCTTACTTTGACCGCCAAGAACGGTGACGACAACTAGAGCTCTTATAGACCTTTGACCAAGAGGTTAAACTGGTTAGTTTCAAACAACAAAAAACGCACCTATAAAAAGTAGAGGTTATATTAATGACTAATAACAATCCCTTGTAAGTTTGCAACAAAGATTGATAAAAAACAAGTCGGCATGTCTACTAAATAACCCTCCTGTACCCTTGAGGTTATAAGGATGCTTTTAGTAAATGTTCGTCTAGATTTCGACACTGACACTAACTTTGACGAACTGTCTGAAAATTTAAACACGAAGAGGCCTAATATTTATAGGCATACCTCACAATATTACTGGGTTATTGAACGAGCTATCCCGATTGTATTGCAGCAATGGTACATCTGGCCCAATATTCGGACTGCATCATACAGACTGTAATTTTGAGGTGATCCTTTCTATCGTGTTAGAAATTATTAATCTAGGAATTATTGGGAGTAAAAGAGTAATTTCAACATGAAAAATTAAAAAAATAATAGCGATTAAAAAAAATGTAACGAAAATGGTAAACGAGCAGGGGTTTTTGGGTCAAAACCGCATTCAAATGGTCTTCTTTTTTATCGATCTGTAAAACTTTTTTTAGAGGAAATATTTAAGATAAGGATTAATAAAATTGGAATTGTAAAAATTATAATAGCTAAAAAAAATATTATTTTAATTATTTATACTAGAATTTTTCTAGATGTTTTAATTGGAAGTTAAATATAGTAATTATATCATATAAATAAATAAATATATTTAATTATCGACCTCATCAGTAAATAGAAATATATAAGAATAGTCAGACTACATCTACAAAGTGTCAATATCAAGCAGCAGCTTCAAAGCCAAAATGATGAATAGATGAAAAATGATTGTAAAAATGGCGAATTAAATTACTAATAAAAATGTAGTTCCAATAATTACATAAAGTCCGTGGAATCCTGTACATAGAAAAAAGGAAGATCCATATACAGTCTGAGATAGCAAATGGGGCTTCAAGGTATTCATAAGCTTGTAAAAACAAGTGAAGTAGAGTCCAAGGATAACTGTTAAAGCTAAACCTTGTAACGTTTGCTTAAAGTTATTTTTTATTAAACTATGGTGAGCCCAGGTTACTGTTAATCTTAAAGTTAATAAAATTAATGTGTTTAATAAAGGAATTTCTACAGGATTGAAAGTTTGAATTCCTTTTGGTGGTCAATTCATTCCTAATTCAATACCAGGGGTTAAAGAATTATGAAAAAACTTCAAAAAAGGAAATAATTTTTTTTTCAGAAGTGATTAATAGAAT